CTGGGAGTCCGCAGCCCCCGCAGAGCCCCTCGCTGAGTGGCAGGCACAGCTCCCACTGCCAGCGGGGACCCCTCTCTCAGGCAGCCCTCTAATAAGTCACACTCCAGAGCTGGGTGTCACCTGCCGAGTTAAAGGACTGGACTCTCAAAGCCTGCTGGCCTTCCAGCTGAGGTCTCTGCTGCTGGGGTAGGCATCCCTGCCCTCACGCGAGGACACTGGCTCTCCTGGCCTAGAAGGCTCGGAGCTGTGGGGAGACGTCCAGCAGCCAGGTTACTGAGAGCAATGGAGCAGAGCTACCATCCACTGGGACCTGGGTCCAGACGTGCCCTCACACTGTCACCTGCACAGAGGACTGCACCCCCTTCTGATATGGCTGGACTCCCAAGTGTCCCATCTTGGTGCTCTTCTCAGGGACCCTACATAGAGGTCCTCCAAGAGGACAGGCCACGGGGCACTCTGCCTTGAAGGAAGCAGCGGACCCACAACACGTGGAGGAGGAAGACTGCGGCCGCTGCCGTCTGCGCTTGCATTCTCAGCATAAAGATGCCCAGACAGAAAGGGCTGCAGGTCCCCTGAGCTCACCTTGCCCACAGCAGCAACTCAGGCAGAAGGACAGAGCCGAAGACGCTGCTGAGCCCACGTGGCCACTCAGTGTGGCTCTCCTTACCCGGGGTAGCAGAAATGATCACCTTTCGGATGCAAGTGGTTTAAACAACTAGAAAATGAACAATTGAAAGGAAAACGTGATCTTTTTTACACTACAACCAAGCCTCCCCGTAATGTTGGGGCCCAGGTGAACTTGAGCTCCAGGAGTGCACTGCTGAGGCAGCAACATGGATGCTCGAGGCGTCCACCTCAGGGCCAGAGGCCACTGTGACACCTGGGCACGAGTCAGCTTCAGAGCTAGCCTCAGTGACAGCCTGGCCTCACCCTCAATGACACCGCAGAGCAGACCTGTCTGGCGGTTTCACTCAGAGAGCGGGCCTGCAGGGTGCAAGGAACAAGAGGCAGCCACGTCCCCCCATTTCAGCTGTGACCTCAGGTGCACAGGACTCTGGCTGGGACAGGAGTGGACTTGGCTTCCGGGTACCATGGGGAATTCCAGACTGCTCATACTGCCAACCTGGTCAGTTGGACCAGTGAGACTCCTCAAAGAAGCCACACCAGAGTGGCTAAGAGAGCTGTGAGGGCAGAGATGGGGGACAAAGCCATCCTGGGGGCCAGAAAGCCCATTCCTCACCTCTACCATGGCCACCGTTTCACGTCCCGTGAGCCACAAGGCCCCCAGGTACCCGGGAAGCATTCTGGTCGTCCAGGAGCCCGGAGCTCTCCACGAGCCATTGCTCTGGGGGTTCTCCAGCCCGACCCCCAGCCCAGGTGCCATGTGACCATGTACCTGTCAGCAAGACAGCTGGCTCTGGAAGATGCCTCGCTCCCCAAAACACATCCATCTCCATCACTGTCAGGAGTGATGGACGCAGGTGTGGTGGCCGTGGGACGCTCCCCTGGCACCACTGTCACTGTCACCAAGGCAGCTGAGCCCAGCTGCCAGCACCACCACACAGCACCCGACAAGCCCAGCCACTAGAGCTGTCTCCCGAGTCAGCCCAGCCACACGCCGCGGGCCAGCCACACACACCACGGCCTGCTCAGTGGCTGCCTCAATGCAGCCCCCTCTGGCGTCCACGCTGCCTCCCTCTGCCCAGCAAGCATGTCTGCGTCCCCACCTGCACCCGACCCTCCCACACATGGTCAGGGCCTCCACTCCCGCTCTGTGGATGACGAGCCCAGAAGCTGGTTTGTCTGTGCTGGAGCCAGCCCCAGGGTGGCCGCTCTGTCCACTCTGTGGGTGGTAACGCTCCTGCCACAGCCCCAAGCTGGCTCCTTGGTTGGACGTGGCTCTAACTAACCTCTGATGACTCCTGAGAACAAGCTGGGTGCTGTACGACCACCTGTGTGTGGCAGAGGGTGAGGACGGCATTAGGACCGCAGTGGAGCCCAAACCGATCTGGTCATTATGGCGGAGAAGGAGGTGCTGCTCCGGCCACAGCTACAGTGGAATCAGGTCAGTGGGGGCCCGACAGCAGACGTGGCACAGTCGTCTGGAAGGGGCCACAGGGGATGGCCCTCAGGCTGGTCGGCTGCCACACAGCATCTCTGCCCCCACAGCCTTTGCCACAGGAGTGTCTTCCGGAGGTCATGCAGGGCTCACTGGAGAAGCCTAAGAAGGGGTCCTGTGGACTGTGAAACCCAACAGTCCAGCAACATGCTGACCCCTGGCACCAGCAGAGGGACACGGCTTTCCATGGTCTGCACGCCTGTGCCAACCCCATGGACGTCTATGCCAGTGTTCCGTCCATCGTGCGGCCCATGGTAAAGCAGGAAGAGAATCATGAGCCCCTAAACTTCACTCTCCTCAGACCTCAGGGTGTGGCTGTTTGTGGACAGGGTCCCCGAGAGGAAGCACAGCCCCAAAGGCAGCTCATTAGAGATTCAGAGGCTCCGAATGCAAAGGTACGTGTCTTGACAAGAGACGGGAGTAAAGGCAGAGCAGCGAGCACAAGACAGAGGCAGAGACGCGCGGTGGTGCAGCTGTCAGTCGGCGGGAGCCACCAGCCTTCCCAGCACTTGAGTCCTGCGGGCACCTGGAATGCAGCCTTCTGGCCTCCACACTGCCAAGTGAAGGACTTGGACTGTGGTCCTTTTCATGGAGTCATTAGAGCTGATGATCATTTTCTCACTGGACACACAGGTCAAAGGTGGATGGTGGGACGGGTCCCCATGGAGTAGTCAAGGGTCACAGCTGGACTGAGAGGATGTCAATTCACCAAGGAAACGTGCTGGGTATCTCCCAGTGGCTACGGAAGGAGCTGGAAAGGCTGAGCTCCACCTGAGTGGTGAGTCACATCTGGCCTGCAGTGTCACCCACCACATGGCAGGGAGCTATGTGCTGGTAACAGACTCTGCTCCAAGCTGGACGGGCCTGGAACCTGCACGAAGGCCCACAGTCCACGTGTGTTCTCACCCCAGCCCCAGAAGTTGCCACCACAGGAAATAGCTGGGCTGAAAACAGGGCAATGAAATCCACAAAGTCTTTCTAGAAGGTTCCAGAGTTGCCCCAAACATACATGCACCCAGACTGTACCTTCATTCTCTTCTGCCTGGCCTCGTGCCCAGGAAACACACCACTGCTGTACTGACCCCCAGTCCCTCCAATGCCAGCACAATGTTCCGGAAAATAATCAGTCAGACTTGCTGTTAGGAGCACGGAGAGAGGCTCACTGTACAGCTGCGATCCCTTATTGTTAACACGCCTCCTCAGGAAAGGGAGGACGCACCTGCATGATATTATCGTTACTCTCACTGGCAATTACAGGCAGGGATTCGCCACCGGCTTGCCAGAGCCCGAGCACAAGGCACTCAGAGGAGGCTGGCTCTGTGCCTGGGGCTGTGGCCCTGGCTGAGCCTGGTGTCTGCACGAAGTGACCTCATGCCTGCCCACTACTCTGACGGGAAGAAAGGAGAAGAAAGCAGCCGAGCTCCCCTCATCGCTGAGCCTTCAGACCCAGGCCAGCCCTTAGGGACTCAGAAGAACCCTCTTCTTGGAAGAACATACTGTAATTCACAAAAGAAATGAGTGCTGAGGTGTGAGGTCCTTACAGTTCATTTACACCTCTGTAATTTGGCTTAAAAGGCCGTTCTGGAGAAAAATGTTTTTCATCACTCAAGGACAGTGTCTCGGGCTGCAGGCATCCAATTCTCCTCCCTTGCAGGGTCTGTGCACCAGGAGCACACACTGTTCTGCAGGCAGCTGCCGTGGACCTCGGCCTGGGCGCCCTGGCCATGCTGTTCTGCCTGGGTCTGCCCAGAGCCACTAGGTGAACCTGGAACAATGCTGGTGGGAGAACTCTGGGAAGGGGCTTTCCGAGGGGTGAAGCCTGGGGCAGTGGCCTGGATGACAGATCCTCACTTGCTCCACTGCCCAGGGCAGAGAGGGGTCCCCTCCATGACAGCTGATGTTGGGGGTGAGGAGGGGAGAGGTCTGTCCACTGTCACCCACTCACCCTCCAGGGTTTGCCGTGTGATTCCAGGTCTTGTGGTCTGTGACTGGAATGGTGAGGAGGCCAGTTCCCATGAGGGACAGCTGGCTGGCTGGGCCTTGAGTCTGAAATGAGTGGCTATCAGGACACATGCACCCCAACAGACTGGAAAGGAGCACTTGAGCCCCGTGACCCCTAAGCGAGGAAAGGGGCCAGCAGAACCCGCGAACCCTCTCCAGTCCCATGGAATGGTCTGAACTCCTCTGTCCATCTCAGCCACTGGTCTGCACCTTTCTTGACCTCAGTCACTGCAGGTCTGGTTGAAACAGGAAGTATGGGGGGAACTGCTTGCTCTTCCAATACAGACACTCGCCTCTGGGCCTTTTGGGGAGACACGCAGACACAAAGGCGAGGATTGGGGGCAGCATCACCTCTGGCAACCCAGAGGGAGCCTGTCCCTGGGTGGATGTGACAGTGGCAGCATGAACTATGCGCATGCTGTTGTCACTCTGTGCCCGCCTAGAGGGCTGGGGCTGGCTGCTGACAGGTCAGTGCATTTACTGATGGGAGGGCTGGGCCCCGAGCGGGGAGGAGAGGGTGTCCTGTCCCCCCAGGGTCCCAGGCAGTGAGGTGGATAGTACCTCCCTTCCAAGGCCCCGAGCACAGTTGGAGAGGTGGGACGACCTGGCCCAGAAACATCATGTGACCCCATGGTGCCTGGAGTCAGGGACCCGCTTCCCTTGTCTCTGTGGTTGACTCTCACCCACCGGTACAAGGTGAAGTGCTCCCTCTAAGCAGTGTCTGCCAGTCATCTTGGAACCAGGCATCAGTTGACCAACCACCCTCGCCACACCCCCTGTATTATGACCAGTGACAACAGCTATGAGGAAGGACCTCGCAAGGACGGTATGCCTCTACTCCCAGTAAAAGCAGCCAGATGCTGAAACAGACGGTGCCTACCTCCACAACGGACTTGGAATCCAGGCGGAAGTTGAAGTCTCCGAAGACAAAGTAGGACACTCTCTCGAAGCGCTGGTCAATGATCCTGGAGGGAGAGGAGAGGGGTCAGAACACGGCCGTCCTGGCTCAGCTGCCAGGCCCACATCACCTTTGCCTTGCTTTGCCTGCTGAAAAGAGACTCCCAGCCAGTATTTTTGCCCCAGAACCTGGTGCTAATGGGCACTCAGTACTTGGAGTTTAGTGGCCCACCACCTACATGTGTGGCCTGAGACTGAGGGCGGGAAGGGCACAATGCCCACAGGTGTATCCCTCCCACAGCTTCCAGGCCTCACACCAGGAAAAGCAGGGGCAGTTTGCTGCCTCAGGTCAGCTCCAGAAAACGCTGCCTGGTACAACGCCGTCCTCAGATAGCCGTAGTCACTATCAAGACTGATGCTGCCTATCAACTGCTGCCTGGGCTCTGACTCACGGACCTTTTGGAAGCCGACTGCCAGGACTTCCCCCAAATCTTAGTGTGGAAGCCCCGCTGGCCTCCACAGCACACTCGAACCTCCACTGGCAGGTAGGTGGGGCCTCGACATGAGGCACACTGGCCAAAACTCAAACCAGGTCTCCCCCGCACAAGTGAGAATCCTACCACTGAGCCACCACTGCTGTCCAGAAGAGGTGAGTAAAGGAGACAAGCACTGGCACCACACAACCACGGGTGCCACCCACGGCGGCCCCACAGCAGTGAGCCAGTCGCTGTGGGTCAGTGACCATGAGGCACCCACAGATGCCCCCAGCGCACCTGATGGTTGCCCACCTGGAATACGTGCTTGTCTGGTTGGGAGGACTGACACACTATTCTTGCCCAGACACAGAGGTATAAAGGAACAGCAAGGACATCTTTAAAGATAGGCGCTGCCTCGTTTGAAGGAACTCCTCTTGTTTTAAATCAACCATTTCATGAATGCTTTTGACTGAAAATCTCTGTAGGCAGGATCTGGCCATGGTGTGGACAGACAATGTGATCTGCCGAAACTGTCACGCGGCCCTCCACCAGACAACATCGCAGCCATATGGCCCAGGACACACTGGCCACAACTCCCTGGCACCCTTCACAGCATTCAACAGCAAAAGGAAGGAAGGCCATTCACAAGACCGTATCTGCGGCAAGATGGTCAGTGGAAATGCAGTCCACTGCACTTCTAACTCCAGCCCTGGCGGCGTCGGTTCAGGGCATGCGTGGGGTGGGGTAGGGGGCTCTGCAAACGGGGCTGCAGGGGATGTGGGCACAACCTAGGGAGAATTTCTCGAGTACATCACATCAAGAAATTCTCATCGACAACTGCCCGCCCCATGAACTGCTGCCCGTGCAAGTGGCCGAGGGTCCTGCAGGCCTGGAGCTCCCCAGCACAGAGCACAGCCTGCAGCTCGCCCTGTCTGTGTGAGGCCGTCCTGGGACTCAGCATCAGCGGTCACAGGAGGGGCCCGTGGCTGCCCACCCCACACAAACCTCAGGCATCTCTCGGGACTCTCTGGATGGAGCCCTGGGTATGATGGCAAATGAGAGGGTTTGTGTTTTATTTGTCACGCAGCACAATCCTGCGTGTCCTTCAGAGGACAGTGTCCTGGGGCCCACCAATTCTGAGTGGAAGGAAGATGTCTCAGTGGTCCCCTCCCCCTTTCTTGTGTTGCTGGCCTGGGTTCTTCCTAGTAGAAGGGGATTATCCCAGAACACACCCCCAGATTGAGGGGGTGGACCTGTCAAGAGGGTCGTGCCTGGCCCCAGTGCACGTCTGCTACCATGCCAGTGCTCATAGCATGGCACTCCTCTTGGAACTGTCCTTGTCCACAGCCTGCAGGTCTGTGAGGTCCCTCTGTGTTCCAGAAACTTCTCTAGGAGTCTGTGACGAGCACAGCATGCCTCCCAGTCGCCGTCTGTCCCCCCACCTTGCTGGCAGCATCTGATGTCTCACAGAAGCTTCCATGTCTTCAGTCACACACAATTATCCCTCCTCATTCCAAACTTGCATGCAGCTCCTCCCCCCTCTTCACTTCATGCCAGTGCTGGCATGGCCTCTGCTCCGTGCGGCATTGGAGTGGGCTGGGGCTCGCACTGACCAGGCCTCCTCATGCAGTCCACTGATCTGCGCCACAGAGTAAGCATTGGGTCCTCTTTTCAAAGAATTCATGTCCCAACAGGAAAGCCTGCGAACTGGAGGTGCTGAATTCCTCTCCACAGATCGTGTCATCTCTTCCTGCCAAACTGTGCCTTTAATCCGTGTGGCTTCTTAGAGGAAGTTCCCACTTACAAACAGTGTCAGCTCGTTTCATATTCCTCTTGATGATCAATTTCCTTATCATGTTCCCAAATTCCATGAAAATGTTGTGCTTTCCTTTATAACTAGAGTCACCCTCAAGTTACATGTTAATCTGGGGAGAAAAGACATACTTTAAGATGTAGTAGTGAACAGTACTGGTGGCTGGTTAGTTCACTGAGGACTGAGGACATTGTCTTTGGGGACTGAAGGCCTAAGGGGCCAATACTGCAGCGTCCTGAAGGGATGGCCACCAGTGGATCCCCTGCCCTTCACTTACGCCCTGCAGAGTAGCAGAGATAGGGAAGGACAGAGCCCTCCCCACCTCGCAGCTGCCATCACGACCTGCTTGCTGCCCTCATGTTTGACTAAGAAAACGAGAAACTACCAAGACCTGAGACCCAATGACTCTGTAAGTCTTAATTAAAGATGTTAAAGACTGTGTGGTTACAAGAACAGCAGAAGCTTCCATTTTAACTCTCATAAAGACCACATATAACACTTGACTCAACAAATGCTACAATTAGGATGTTTAGAAAGAAAGAAAACACTAGGAGAGCCCCAGTGATGCCCACCCCCAACAGCGGCCTGACAGAAGTGATTCTGTTGGCACTCCTCAGATTGTGTACCACCTCCATTAAAATCCAGCTTTATCACAGCTCTGTGCCCTTCCTTCTGTCAGAAGAGCCGGAGACGATTAATAAGCACCGTGCTGTGAAAACGCTGCCCAGAGAGTAGAGATGAAGGGGCTGTCAGGAGGCACGGCAATCACCGGAGTGGTCGCCCCCACCCCCAGCCTATACAAGGTGCACTTTCATTCCAACAGAGTCACTTGGACTGAAAAACAAAGAGCTGCTTCACAATGAATGACCCTGCCAGCAGCTATTATGATTAAAAAGTTCAACCACATCAATAACGTGAGCTTTCTTCAACGTGAGAATGACACGAGCCACAGACACACCCCTAGGCCTGAGTGCAGCCTCGGCTGGGAGGCCGGAGGGCACCGGCGTGTGGGCACCTCCTGGTCAAGGGCTGCTCAGCCTCCAGCTCACGGAGCAGGTACATCCTGGGACCCCAGCTCCTGATGGGGAAAGCACCCTATCCTGCAGTGGTGGGAGTCTATACGCAGAACTGTCAACACCCATTGTGGTGGACACACCTGGACATGGGTACTGTCAGTGTCACATGCCTGATCATTCAGATACGACGAAACTTACAAGACCAACACACAGACCACAACTCCCCCGTTATCCTGCACAGCAGGGCTTCACATCCCAGGAAGAACTTTTAACTCTAGCTCAGCCCACCACCGAAGTAACACTCCCTGCCCAGGGTTCCTTTTCTTTCCTGAAACCGCTGGATGTGATGTTGAATTGCTGGGAACTGTCAAGACCAAGCTCTGAACTGTGGCAACAGGATCAACAATGAGAGCCATTAGGGTCCCTGGACAGCCTGGCTGGGCTCTAGGTGCAGTGCCCAGGGGACCGTGAAGACCAGCCACCATCCCTGTGTCTGCCCACATTACCCCATGATGCTCTTCCTAAGGGTCCAGCGTCTCTGCTCCCTGTGGGCTGACCAGTGACCACTGTGAGCTCAGGCCATTCACTGCTGGGAGACCCAGGGGGGCAAACACTTTGAGAATGAGGTCAGGAAACCCCAAACTGTCAATAGGTGGCTCCTGGCTTTGATGATTCGGGCCAAGGCTTTTGTGTCCTCACAAGATACAGGGTGGACTCAGCTACCACGAAGGTTCTGGGCCAGTGTCCACAGGATGCAAGCGTCAATCAGAGCATGAGCGTTTCATCACCAAGGTGTTCTTGTCCATCCTTTTACAGCCCAGGCTCCTCCATACACATCCCTGATTCAGAACTGCTGAGGGGGCCAGGAGAGGATTCTAAAGAACCCACTGAGTGCTACCGGAGACGTCCAGGAAGCATCCTGTGAGAATACTCCAGGTGTACCCTGAGGCGTTCTCAATCGCATCCCCTATGGTTACCCCAAAGTAGATCTGAGGTGTCTCTGTGGAACCCTGAGGGATCCTTGGTGCCCCCCTAAGGAGCTATCTGCAGAGCCCCGAGGGTCCTTAGGGTCTCTGAAGTGCCCTTGAGGAGCTGTTTCTCCAGCGTCCCTGCAATCGCTGAGGTAGCCTCAAGCTCTAATGCATTTCCATGGTACCCCCACGGTATCAATGCAGGAGGATCCTTGAAGGAGCCCTGAAGCATCTGTGAGGTGAGCCGGACGGACTGGAAGGCAGCCTGAGACGTCTGGAGGTACCCGTGCAGCTCCCTATGCCTCCCGAGGCATGCTCTGTGATGCCCCTGATGTGTCCCCACTGGCATGATGTTGTGGCAAAATAGCTCCCAGCAGGTTATCTGTTTACTTACTTTTAAAACACCACATTGTAACATTAAACATGTCAGTCCACCCACAGACTGCAGCCTGCCCACGCAGAACCTCTGTGTCTGGTGGACAGAAGAGAATCTTAAAACCCCAAAGCTGAACAAGGTACAAGAGAAAAGAGAACACTTGCACTGGGGAGTGGCTGTCCTCGCCTGCGCAGGCCTGAGGCTGTAGTGAGTGTGGGGCTGTGGGGAGAGAGGCTGTGGAGAGCGTGGGGCTGTGGAGAGCGTGGGGCTGTGGGCCTGCGCATCAGCCCCTGCACTGAGGTGTCATCCTAGACGTGTGCAAAACTGTCCACACAGCAGGGGGACCAGCAGCTACCTGGCTGCCCCCTGTCACTGGACAAGGCCACACCACTGGTGAACTGAGTGGGTGCAGGGCACTGTCTACGTGGTACTCTGGGCCAGTGTCCAGTGCTCACAGCAGACACATGACGTGTCTTCCACGTGTCTATATAGCACGTGCAGTTGGCACAGACACAGGCAGGCTCCGGGACAGGTGGCTTCAGAAGTAGGCGTGAGAGCAGCCACGTGGAGCTTGGGGTCACACTGGGATGCCAGAGAGGCAGCTCAGAAACCTGCACGGCAGGGTGACCCTGCCTGTATTGTTGCAAGCCCATAAAGGTAAACAGGACAGGCCAAGAGCAGCCTGTCTGAGTGCAGCCTCCTGCGAGTTTCTGCACGCTCAATTTAGTTTTTCAATAAAATAAAACGAGGGGCTGTTCTAAATTCCATCAACCTTCTGAGACATAAGCAACACTACACTGGTTTCCCAGGCCTGCACCCACAGGTGCCAGAGGCACACGGGGTGGGAAGCGTCACACAGCAGGCGGATAGGGCTGTGGCCAGGTTTCCAGGGGCCAGTTTCTGTCCAGTTGAGGGGCCAGGATATCCTGAGCAGGCCCCCAACAAAGGCCAAATCCTCACGCCCAGCTCTCCAGGCTGTAGCTGTGAATTTGTCACAGTGGCACTCCACGGTAGTCCAAGGGCTTCGGCGCAGGAAGGGGCTGGGGGAACATTCCACGGCGGGTGCGCCAGGGTGTCGGGGTGACCTGGTTCCTTACTGCTGAGCTTGATTTGCCTAGAAACGAAGGGGCCTTTCTTCTCCTCCCCAAAGAGCGGGCAGGTTCTGAGAAGAGCTGAGCAAGAGCCACTGGGATGGGGCCTTTGAGCCGGCTGACAGCTGACTGATGAGTGGCCGTGGGGACAAAGCGGGCCTGTGTGGTGCCCGTGCATCAAGCCGTTGCTCCCTGGGAAACTAATTGCTCTGAATTGTGCGCTGCAACATGATTTTTCTGGTGATCACTCTTTTGAATGCCCAAAATGAGCATGAAGCAACTCTCTTGACCGGACATAAAAGTTCAATGTCCCAATGTTGATCAAATTAACTTGAGCAACATGACAATGGACTCTATTTGTGAGAGAAGAAAGGGGGGACACAGGCGTGCTTTCTGAGTGGATCTCACAGTTGTATGGAAAGGTGTTTCTGCGGAACGAGGCCGGCTGTGACTCCAAGGGGGTGGAGAGCATGGTGTGACTGGTAAGTCCTTGAGTGGAGCTCTGGAGAGACAGGCGGAGGCCCGAGGATCAGGGGTAGAGGCCCTCATGCCACTGGCAGGTTTACAGCCTCAGAGAGTTCAGCCTCTGGAAAAGCCTGCCTGTCCTGCCCCACTTCACCTGCTCCTAGCCCCAGCCCCATGTTGTCTGGCCCAGCACCTTGGGGAGGGCTGCAGTGTGGGGCTCTTCGAGGGCCACCACCACCTCCCAGGACCTGTGCTTCTGCATGCCAACATGGCTGCCTTTGATTCCGACTTCCTAACAAGAGTTCCCTGTAACACTCCCTGTAACACTTCCGAAGCGTGCGGACAGCTGGGCACTGGCCGCACATCAGTGTCACCTCCTTGTCTGGCCACACTGCACATGCTCTCCCAACGGAGGGGGGACTCAAGAGAGAGCACGGGCAGAGCCACACTGTGGCTCCCAGAGGGTCAGACATAAGGATGTCCCTGAGATATGGGGGCCAGGCGTTCAAGGGTGTGTCTGTTGTGCCAGGGGCTCAGGACACACGCAGCTCAGAACATCCCCCTCAGTGTCCCCTACAGAACAGCCTTGAATTCTGGAAAATGCCAGATACGCAGGATACTACCAGGCACCACGGGGTTGGCCTGGCCCTGCCTCATCCTTGTGTGCGGCCTCTGATGGTGTGACACCACAGCCCTGCAGCCAGGGCGTGGGGACCATGGGCTCTGCCACAGAGATTAAACTAGGACGGGGACGTCCCTCTACGCCCACTCCCTGCCCGCGTCTCAGCAAGCACACAGACAATGCTCTGGACAGTTCCCAACGCCTGAATGGGGCTCTGTTGGTGGCAGCCTTCCGTCAAAGGGCAATGCGGCATTGTCCCCTACCGGCACGGCAGAATGGAGTCTGCTGGTGGCCGCCAAAGGTTAGCAGCCGATGAAAGGACGCCCCACTATTCACCGCTCCTACAGAATGCCCTTTTGTGGCAGCCTGCTCTGCGCAGAGGAGGTCCGGAGCCGCGGCTGGCTGCGCTCACCCCAGAGCCGTCCATGGGAACCAAGTCCGCAGACAGCCCCACCGGAGGACTCAAGGAGGCCGCGGGGAGGCATGTGCGGACCCGTCACACGGGCAACCCACTCAGTAAGCAAAGCCGTGAGCCCAAGGAATCCTCGACACTGACACCATGGGAGGTCTCAGCCCTGGCAGAGGACCCCCCCACAGCACCCTGAGGGGACAGATGAACCGCACGTAGCTCAGTGGGCCACGCGGTCACCGACAGGGTCCAGTCCATGTGCACACAAACATACACATACTCATACAGTCACACACAAGTTGTGTATGTAGCCACACAAGGTACATGCGTGTACACACACTCACACACTGCACGTGGAACATGCACTCATGTACATACGCTCGCTAAAAGTACGCGTGCACATATGTATGTCCACACATGCACACAGACACATGCATACAGAGACACACACTGACCCCTGCATTTCTGCACACACACACACACACACACACACACACACACACACACGAGCACATGCACGTACAAACACAATGCGTTTACATAAACACACAGGCACGTACAGGAGTTATATGCACACATACTCACATACACATGCATACACAGCACACACACAAGCACACGTGTGCACATGCATAAACACACACTCTGTGTGCACGCACACAAAATCTTCCTACCCTGAGTTCTGTGAAGAAACAGGTGCTACGATCGCATCCTGTGGACGAGGAAGCATTCCAAGGCTGGGACTGGCCTGGCTCATGGAACAGCAGGAGGGCGGCTGAGCACAGGGCACAGGGCACTGTGACTGTCACCAGAGCGCCAGTGGCTGGCCAGCACAGGGCACTGTGGCACTGTAACCGTCACCACACACCTGCCAGAGTATGTTTCCTTTACTACAGACGCCACAGAGGCAGGAACGAGGAGAATGCACACAGACACGTCTACACGTGTGCACAAACAGGTTCAGAGAGCGGCTGCCTCAGACGGCCGGCTACGTGAACTCTCCTGGGCCGGCTGCCCACCTTTGTTCTGCCAGCCTATTCCAACAATGAGTCAGTATTCCTCAGCCTGCTAGTGGCCCAAACTGTGTTTCCTTATCTTGTCACAAAACATAAATGTGGTCCATCTGGCCCCTCCACTCTCCTGGTGATGCGCTACCCAAACTTCTGCGTGGAGTCAAAGGCATTATCCCATCCCCGTGACAAACAATTTCAGATTTCACCGTAACGGGCAGCAAGCGAACCCCCACACCACAGCGCTGTAGACAGGCAGGCCCTCAGTGAGGCAGTGCATACCTGTCCAGCACGTAGCCCAGAGCCTTGTGCCGGATTCCCGAGTACACGGATGGGCTGGTCTCCCATGCCACGAGGTTGGATGCGTCGTGGAAGAGATGGATGTTGACCAGGTCGAAGGCGCTGCAGTAGAGAGAAGATGGTGATGGACGGCACACCTGGGGCTGCTCCCAGGGAGGACCCATGGGAACAGGGCCCACGGCAGCAGACCCCAACAGGAGCAGACCCCACGGGATCAGACCTAAAGGGGGCAGGTTCCACGGGATCAGGCCCCAGGGGAGCAGACCCCACAGGAGCAGACCAGGCTTCAGAATCAGGCATCTGAGCACAAGTGAGGGGCAAGACACTCTGAGGCTTTCGGGTAGATGGAGCAGCTTCCATCACAGCAGAGGTCAGGCTGATGCTACAGCCAACGCCCCCCATGCAGAACAGGCTGAAATCTGGGAGCAGGCCTGACCCAGAGCCAGCCCAGGTGACCTCAGGTCCCTGGTGAAACAGGCTGCAGGGCATTTGACATGACAGCTGTGGGAGACTCAGAGGGACGCCACCAGGACTCACAGCCCAGATGCTTTGTTCAATGGACCTGCAGCACAAGTTAGCTGCCGAAGGACCCAGAGGTACTGGACAGAGTACATGGCGCTAGCCTCCCCCTCTAGGTAGCGGACCAGGTGGAGAGCACCACACCCTGGGGGACAGTTTTGATGCCAGCATCTCTACAAGTCAACAGAGCCCCTGGGAAGGTATGAGCAGTCTGTCACTGTGAGAGTGCCCAAGGAGGGCACCCATCCAACCTCAATGAGAGAGGCAGAGCTGAGCCACAGACGTACCAGTCAGCAACACACCACCTCGTCCGGATGAAGCCCTTCCGGGACCATTTGCACTGAAAAAATAAACAGGGACACAGGTGAGCAGGTCAGGGCAGAATAGAGTCCAGACACGCACGTGAATGTGTGAGAGTGAACAGTCCAGGGGTACAGGTTTTCCTGGGCACAGTCCGAGGCCACCAGCTGCTTTGTGGGAGGAAGACGGGCAATTAACTGCCTCTGAAAACCTGCTGGAGGGTCAGCTCCGGGGCGGTACCAACTCGACAGTACTCAACAACAGCTGAAGTGTGTGTATCTGAGAAAACACTGTTATTATGAGGCGCTATTTGGAAGAGATTTTAACTGTTCATGAAGCAAAGCAGAGACACTGAAGACATAAAACAGAGCAAAGAAGATCTGCAGAAAGGAGGTGCAAGGCCCTCACTGGGACAGATGCTGCTGCTGGCAGCAATGGCTGCAGTGACCCCACGTGGGCAGAAGAGCGCTGCTCCGGGCTTTCAGGGACGGGGCCACTCAGGCAGGTGACCCCGGAAGCACCGCTCGGTCAGGCCGAACCACCAGCTTTGTCGCTGGTCAAAACTGACTCACAGATATGAAGTGAGGACAACTCGAAGCTGAGCCTGCAGTGAGTTTACACTGTTGACCACACAGCTCCGAATGCCCCTCCTGGCCCTAAGCAGTGGCCGGCAGTCACCGCCAGAACGGTGGTGCCTGGAATCGGCAGCGCCTAGAGCAAGCCGGCTCCCTCGCTGCCCTTGGTAGAGGCGTGCTTGCTGGCCCTCGTCCTCCCCACGTACGCACGTTACAAAGCACAAGGAGCAGTGAGTGCACATGGAGACACGGCTACAGAACTACTCAAAAGAAATCTGGAAGAAAGAAAATGGTGAGCAGAATGAAAGAGCCATGGGACATGAGGAGGCAGGATGGGGGGAAGGGGCTCAGAAAAACCACTGAAGAAACAAGAGAAGGAAACATCCCAGACCCAGCAAACACAACACAAATACACATGTGCAGAAGCTCAAGAAACTCCAAGCGTCAGAAACATGAAAGAAATGACACCAAGGCACATCACAATCAGATTTCTCACCAGCACACAAAACAATTAAGACAGACCGGGGGGGTTGGCCATCCACTTCCGAAATCACAGGCCTCAGAAAACCCTATGCACAAGAGAGCACATTTAGGTGAGACAAGCAGATACACACCAGAGGCAGAGCCTTCTCACTGGGAACCACAGAGGAGGAGCTGCAAACAGACACTACGGACTGGAACGTGGCACGTGAGAGATAGGAACGTAGGAGAGCCAGGAATGGTTAAGGAAGAAATGGAACATATAAATACTGACATACTAGACACTGGGGAAATGAAATGGGCTGGCCCGGGACATTGTGGATCAGGTGCGGACGATTTACTACGCCAGAGATGAAAAGGTGAGAAAAAAAAAACGGAGTTGCTTTCATAGTTATTAAGGCCATTTCTAGATCCATCTTGAAACACAATGTTGGGAGTGACAGGGTAATATCCATATACCTATAAGGAAGACCTGTTAATACCACTATCATTCAAATATATGCAACAACAATCAGGGCCAAAGATGAAGATATAGACGACTTCTACCAACCTTTGCAGTTGGAAACAGACTGAACATGCAACCAAGAGACTTTGATAATAATGGGTGATCGATTGGACACAAAATTTGGAAGAAAGACCAATAGTCAGAAAGTGTGGACTTGGTGACAGAAATTAGACTGGAGACAGAATGATAGAATTCTGTACCATCAATGCACAAATGGTAAATATCCAAATTATTAAGAATATCATTTTTAAAATGCCAATAACATTCACCATTTATCTTCTACTTAATTATCACTGGCAATGATTTAATTTGCTTTACCTGTCAACACTCTTGGCACCAGTAGCGAGGAAATAAAAAAACGTAATGCGATGGGAAAATCTGCGGTTAGGGACCTCTCTAAAGTACTCAGGAGCAACGGTGTCTCTCTGGAGACTAAGGTGCGCCTGATACAGGCCATGGTTTTTGCAATCACTAGTTATGCATCAGAGAGTTGGACAATGACTAGGGAGGATAGAAGGAGAATTGACGCCTTTGAGCTCTGTGGTGCTGGAGAAGAGTATTGAATGTACCATGGACTGCCAAGAAAACAGATTCATCCTAGAGAGGGTTAAACCAGGCTACTCCTTGGAGGCAAGGATTCTGGGGCTTCATCTGACATACTTTGGACATGTTGTAAGGAGAGACAGGTCTTTAGAGAGGGACATCATGTTGGGTAGAGTAGAGGGACAGCGCAGGAGGGGAAGACCCTCTATGAGGTGGATTGATTCAGTGACTGGGGAAATCGGGATGGGTGTGTCAGAGGCAATGAGATTGACACAGGATAGTGCACGGTTTAGGGCTGTTGTACATAGGGTCGCTATGAGTCGCAAACGACTCGACGGCACATAACAACAACAACAACACAGATAATAAGTACTTATAATCAACAACTTAAAAATATCTCAAAACCAGTTATAGGGGGAAGACACATCACACAGAGGGAGAGGTGGCACGAGATGTACCGCCAGAAAAGTGTAACAGGACAGCAGGCAAGAAATGCTGGAGCTCTCGCACGCTGCTGAGGGGATTGTACAATGGCACAACCACTCAGAAAGACAGTCTGGTATTTCCTCAAAAAGCTGAACATATAAATTCCATATTACTCAGCTATTCCACTCCTTAGAATATATCCCGAGGAAATTAGAACTGAGACACAAATGGAGATTTGTACACCAATATTCATAGCAGCATTATTCATCATTGCAAGAACATGGAAACAGCCCAAATGTCCAACCACAATCGAATGGACTGAGAAATTACAGTGCATTCACACAGTGGAGTACTAGGCAGCACTCAGGAGCAATGATTTTGAAAATCACTACCTAACATGGGAGGGACTGGAGAGCATTATGCTGAGTGAACAAACTCAATCTCATAAGGAGAAATATCGTGTAAGACCATGATTGTAAAATTATTGTAAATAATAAGACGTGTGCGAGGATCCAAGCAGGGAGGGGAGCAGCAGAAAGGGAAGGACAGGAGGGGGAATCATAGGGTCACAGAATCTGCTGGGTGGAGGGCGGGGAGGGTGAAGGAAATGGGAACAACTGGGGAGGATCTGGGAAGACAGGATGGTGATGAGCATAGATCAATGCTGATGAATTTTATAAAATACAGTGAATGGGAATGATTGTATGAAACACACTGTGAATGAAAGAGAATGTGAAACACAATGTACACAAACTTTGTAAGCAACCAAAATAAAATTTTTAAAAAATGTCGTGCCCGAAAACAGTGCAAGCCAGAAGACAGTGATAAGAAGTCTCAAAAGGAAAAAAAAAACACCAAACAATTGTCCAAATTTTTAGTTGCAGAAAAGCAATCAAAATATTAAAAATATCATTGCTCTTTTGATTCTGAAGAGGCCCTAGACAGCAGATTTCTCCCATGCAATACATCTTTTAATTTCTTGACTGCTGCTGCCATAGGGGTTGATCCAAGTAAAAGGAAGTTGTTGACATCAATCTTTTCTCCATCTATCCTAATGTTGTGTACTGGTCCAGAGGTGGGGATTTTTGTCTTCTTGATGCGGAGACATAACCCATACCGAAGGCTGTATTCTTTGTTGTTTGATCTTCTTAGTAAGTGTTCCAAGTCTTCTTCACTTTGAGAAAGTCCTGATGCCAGATTCTTCTTCATACAGGTAAACTTCTACAATTTGCTCAACATATAGATGGAATAGATACAGAGAAAAGATGCAATCCTGATGCAAAGTACTTCTGGTTTTAACTCGTGCAGTACTCCCTTGTTCTGTTCTGAGAACTGCTTCTTGGTCTATGCAAATGTTCAACACTGAGCAAAATGAAGTATTCTGAGACTAATTCTTCTCAGTGTTATCCATAATGTTATGATCCACATAGTTAAATGCTTTTGCATAATCAATAAAGCACAAGCAAACACCTTTCTATTAATTTTCTCTTTCAGCCAAGATCCAAGTGATATCAGAAATGACAGATTCTCATGCTAAGGCTTCTTTTGAATTCAGCTTGAATTTTTGGCAATTTCCTATTGAAGTACTGCTCCAGCCATTTAAAAATAATCTTCAGTAAGATTTTACTTGCTTGGGATATTAATGACATTGCTTGGTAATTTCCACAGTCTGCCGGATCACCTTTTCTAGGGATGGGGTAAATGTGAACGGGTCTCTTGCAGCCTGTCGGCCAGGCTGCTGCTTCCACATGTGTGGACAGAGACGTGGGCGCACATTCAGGACGGTGTTTAATGAAAGATGCCAGCTGGAATTCTAAAATTCCCAGGCCTTATTTATTTATTGCCAGTGTCTTCAGTGAGGCTTGGACTTCTTCCTTCATTACTACCAGCTCTTATTCACCTGGTTCTTCCTAACATGGTTCACTGTCAGTTCATTCTCTCTGACTCAGTGGTCTGTGTGCTCCCATCTTCTTTTGATGCTTTCTGGATCATTCAAGGTTTTGCCCATAGATTCCTTCAGTGTTGCAACTCAAAGCTTGAATCCGTTCTTCAGTTCTTTAGTCAGCTAGAGAAAAGCATGTTCTTGTAAGATTTCGAATGACAGCTACTTGTGAATTTCGTTCTTATACTTTGCTTTGCTGAGCTGCCCTTTGACAAATGTTGAGGTGACTTACCTGAGCATTCCCTGTCTTGGCTTCTTTCTGTTCCAATGCAAGCTTCAGAGTCCTTCTGGGTCTTTTCTTTCTACCTTGTCTTTGTGATGGCTTCTCGATTTCTTCACGGATGATGTCTTTCCTTATCTTGTCTGGTCTTTGGTCATTAGTGTCCAATGTGTCAATCCTATTCATAAAGTGCTTTTCAAATTCAGGTGGGAGAGACTCAAAATATTTTGGTTCTCATAGGTGTGTTTTAATTTTATTTTTCCATTTGAACATTCATATGAGTACTGACAAAAGGTGGTGGAGGGAAACCTGCTGGACCAGTTCAGTGCTGGTATTTTATTTTCTGTAT